AAGAACAGTGTGATTGCCACCATAACCACTGCACCAATACCACCTACCATAACCACTGCACCAATACCACCTACCATAACCACTGCACAAATACCACCCACTATAACCACTGCACCAATACCACCTACCTACCATAACCACTGCACCAATACCACCTACCATAACCACTGCACCAATACCACCTACCATAACCACTGCACCAATACCACCTACCTACCATAACCACTGCACCAATACCACCTACCATAACCACTGCACCAATACCACCCACCTACCATAACCACTGCACCAATACCACCTACCTACCTACCATAACCACTGCACCAATACCACCCACCTACCATAACCACTGCACCAATACCACCTACCTACCATAACCACTGCACCAATACCACCCACCTACTATAACCACTGCACCAATAGCTCACCTACCTACCATGTCCACTGCACTAATAATACCACCTACCTGCAACCACTGCACCAATACTACTCACCTACCATAACCACTGCACCAATACCACCTACTCATACCCACTGCACCAATACTCACTCTACTCATAACCACTGCAGCAATACTCACCTACCATAACCACTGCACCAATACCATCACCTACCATAACCACTGCACCACACCTACCATAACCACTCGCAGCACACCACCTACCATAACCACTGCACCAATACCACCTCACCCTACCATAACCACTGCAACCAATACCCACCTACTATAACCACTGCAACCAATACCACCTACCATAACCACTGCACCAATACCACCCACCTACCATAACCACTGCACCAATACCACTCACCTACCATAACCACTGCACCAATACCACCTACCTACCATAACCACTGCACCAATACCACCCACCTACCATAACCACTGCACCAATACCACCTAACATAACCACTGCACCAATACCACCCACCTACCATAACCACTGCACCAATACCACTCACCTACCATAACCACTGCACCAATACCACTGCACCAATACCACTCACCTACTATAACCACTGCACCAATACCACCTACATACCCACCTACTATAACCACTGCACCAATACCACCTACCTACCCACCCACTATAACCACTGCACCAATACCACCTACTATAACCACTGCACCAATATCACCTACCTACCCACCTACTATAACCACTGCACCAATACCACCTACATACCCACCTACTATAACCACCGCACCAATACCACCTACCTACCCACCTACTATAACCACTGCACCAATACCACCTACCTACAACCTAGTATAACCACTGCACCAATACCAGCTACCTACCCACCTACTATAACCACTGCACCAATACCACCTACCTACCCACCTACCATAACCACTGCACCAATACCACCTACCTACCCACCTACTATAACCACTGCACCAATACCACCTACCTACCCACCCACTATAACCACTGCACCAATACCACCTACCTACCCACCTACTATAACCACTGCACCAATACCACCTACCTACCCACCTACTATAACCACTGCACCAATACCACCTACCTACCCACCTACTTTAACCACTGCACCAATCCAATACCACCCACCTACCCACCTACTATAACCACTGCACCAGTACCACCTACATACCCACCTACTATAACCACTGCACCAATACCACCTACCTACCAACCTACTATAACCACTGCACCAATACCACCTACATACCCACCTACTATAACCACTGCACCAATACCACCTACTCCGCTGTATGTAAATCTCTAAATTGAGAGGTTGGAAAATTGAAAGGGACACTATAGTCACCAAAACAACTACAGCTTAATGTAGTTGTTCTGGCAAGTATAGTCAGTCCCTGCAGGATTTTGAATGTAAGCCATATCTTTTCAAAGAAAAGGCAGTGTTTATATTGCTCCCTAAGGACACTTCCAGCGGCAGTGCTTCGAACTGTGCAGCACTGGCGTTTAGTGTCTCATGCTGAACATTTCCCATATTGATTGACAGTGATTCACTGCATCTCTATGAGGAAATGCTGACGGATGCAGCATAATAATTTGCCGCGCATGCACAATAGCCTCCCTTTGGACCCCTAAAGCACTTGCTAACATACTTTATGTGTGAAGAGTGTCTACTTTTTTTTTTTTTTTAATTCTTTATTTTTGTTTTTGGAAGAGTGTCTACTTTTGTTTTTAAATTTTACAAAATGCAAATTTCAGTAGAAATTGGTACATTAATAAATTAACCTTGTTACACACCCCCTGGCTTTCAAACAGAAATCAGACCCTGTTACTTCCTGGTTTGGTTAGCTCAGTGGAACTAAACTCAAGAGGCAGCAATTGCACGGAGCACCTGCTTTGCAAACACTTCTCATTAAGCTGAATTGGGAAGTCTGTGATTTGGACAGCCACAGAAAGTCTGGGCCGGGTTAGATATCTGCAGCTATTGCAAGCTGTTTTTAGATATATTTCAAAGGAAAAATGCATAATTGAATGCATGCATGTTTTCGTATGGATGCATGTTTTCGTATGGAGTATATCTGCTAAACAGTGATTTTTGTTCTCATTTGAGCAAAAAAAAGTTTTCATGATTTCCTGTAACTACTGATATGGATAAACTTACCTTCTTCTGGTAAATGTGAAACATAAACTGCTATCTTAAAGGAAAACTATAGGGTCAGGAATACAAATGTGTATTTCTGACCCTATTGTGTTAAAAACACATGTAGGGTCCCTGGCCCCTCTTGCCCTCCTGAAATAAGTAAAAGCCTCACCTTATTTCCAGTGCCGAAGTGGTCTGCTGGTGCTAGCTGTGCCCCCAATCCGCCTCCTTGGCTGAGATCATCAGCATTGATGATCTCAGCCAGTCACAATGTTTTCCTATAGGAAATACCACCCTAGCCATTCAGCATTTCCTCATAGTGATGCATTAAATCATTACATTTCTATGGGGAATGTTCAGTGCCTCCATGCAGAGGGTGGAGACACTGAATGTCACTGCTGCATACTGTGCAGCACTGCCCCAGGAAGCACCTCTAGTAGCCATCTGAGGAGTGGCCCTTGGAGGTATCCCTAGGCTGTAATGTAAACACTGCATTTTCTCTGAAAAAAAGTTTTACTGCAAAAAACCTAATGGGAATGATTCTACTCACCAGGACAATTTCAATGAGTTGTAGTTGTTCTGGTGACTATAGTGTCCCTTTAAAGTTGCCTGGGATAACATGGATGAGCTGGAACTTTACCCTCCCTATTTAATCTTCCAATACCTAGCTCAGGGCTAAAAAGACTTTAGTGAAAACCAGAAAGTGCTTCTTCTTTAAACTATTTAAGATATCCAGAATACAATTAAGAATTATCTCCATGATAAAGAAAGAAGAAGCGTGTGAAAACCGAAAATGAAGGGGCCGTGGTAGAAAGAGCCAAAGCAAATGCTTCACTATGGGAGGCACGTCTGAAGGTCACAGAAGCCTCCCGCATGGAGTATCGCGAAGCTGCCCAAAATCTTGCACTGACCAATGAAAATCTGATGCAGAGGCGATACCAGATGGAAAAAGACATGGTGGACGTTGTCGGATTTATGAAAAAGCAAGAAAAGGAGAAAGATGAAATGGTATTGTAATCCTGTTTTGCTTCCAGCGTGTTCTCTACTATTTAAAGCTATTTTTCTTTTGAGATATAGAAATAAAAACGAGTCCATAGATTTGGCACATATATCATTTGGAAACAACACCAGTTGGCTATATGGTCTTTCTGTCTTCCACCTCATGGCTGCTTTATTATACATTCTATCATTTAATCTTCTCTCTCCTTGTATTTCAAACTAACGTGGTGCCTAGCCAGTTCCAGTTTATCTGTATTTGATACCTCTTTGTGCTTAACAATCTTCCAGCTCTTGGTTTGTCTATATTGACATGAGTGACTTATGTTTATCAACCTGCCCGTTTTTGGTTTATAAATATATAATGCTCATAAACTTGAGCTATTACCGAGTCTAAAATGTACCTGTTCTTGGCATCTATATATTATTATTATTGCCATTTATATAGCGCCAACAGATTCTGTAGCGCTTTACAATATTATGAGAGGTGGGGTGTAACTATAAATAGGACAATTACAAGAAAACTTACAGGAACAATAGGTTGAAGAGGACCCTGCTCAAACGAGCTTACAGTCTGTAGGAGGTGGGGTATAAGACACGTTAGGACAGGAAATATCAAATAGGGTGGGAGTGAAGCAGAGCTGGAGGAGAGAGTAAAGCACTGCCCTATAGGAGAGAGCAAGAGAGAGGTATGTAAGGTAGAGGTTACTCTGGGAGGCCATAAGCTTTCCTGAAGAGATGGGTTTTGAGGCACTTCTTAAATGATTGAAGACTAGGGGAGAGTCTAATTGCGGTAGGCAGGCTATTCCATAGGAAAGGAGCCGCCCGCAAGAGGTCCTGCAAGCGCGAGTTGGCCTTACGGGTGCGAGCAGCGGTCAGGAGGTGGTCACGGGCAGAGCTGAGGGAACGGGGAGGGGCATACCTATGGATCAGTGAAGAGATATAAGAGGGGCTAGAATTGTTCAGTGCTTTAAATGTTTGAGTTAGCACTTTGAATTGACTCCTATAGGATACAGGGAGCCAATGTAAGGACTGGCAGAGGGGTGAGGTGTGAGAGGACCGACTAGAGAGGAAAATCAGTCTAGCTGCAGCATTTATTACAGACTGTAGCGGGGCAGTACGGCTTTTGGGGAGACCAATCAGGAGAGGTTGACAGTAATCCATACAGGAAATTACTAGAGCATGGACAAGCTCCTTGGTAGCATCTTGTGTGAGAAAGGGGCGGATGCGGGCTATGTTTTTAAATTGGAACCTACAGGATTTGACAACAAACTGGATGTGAGGCTCAAAGGTGAGGCCAGAGTCAAGTGTGACGCCAAGACAGCATGCTTGCAAGGATGGACTTATGTGGCTATCACTGACTTGAAGGGAGAGTGAGAGAGGAGGATCAGTATTAGGAGGAGGAAAGACAAGGAGTTCAGTTTTAGAGAGACTGAATTTCAGAAAGCGTGAGGACATCCAGTCAGAGATGGAAGAAAGGCAAGTAGTGACACGCTGCAGGACGGCAGGGGAGAGGTCTGGGGAGGAGAGGTATATCTGATTGTCATCAGCGTACAGGTGGTAGCGGAATCGAAAAGAGGCAATAAGTTTGCCAAGAGAGGCAGTATAAAGAGAAAATAGAAGGGGACCAAGGACAGAGCCTTGGGGAACCGAGACAGGACGAGGGGAGGAGGTATCCTTGGAAAAGGAGACACTGAATGAGCGTTGGGAGAGATAGGAGGAAAACCAAGAGAGGACAGTCACAGAGACCGAGCGATTGAAGAGTTTGAAGGAGGAGAGCAAGATCAACAGTGTCAAAGGCAGCAGAGAGGTCAAGGAGAATTAATAAGGAGTTGTGACCTTTGGATTTAGCTGCGATTAGGTCATTAGTAACTTTGATAAGAGCAGTCTCAGTAGAGTGGAGAGGGCGGAAGCCAGACTGAAGAGGGTCACGGAGAGAGTATTGAGGAAGAGAGAACTGAGGAAGTGAGACACACGGGTAAAGACCAGTCTTTCCAAAAGCTTTGATGAGAAAAGGAGCAGGGATATGGGACGATAGTTAATGGGGGAGGATGGGTCAAGAGATGTTTTTTTCAGGATAGGTACTACAGTGGCATGTTTAAGGTCAGCAGGAAAAGTGCCAGAAGAGAGAGAGCAGTTAAAGATGTGTGTTAGGGTAGGCACAAGACAAGGGGAGAGAGATCTGATGAGGTGAGACGGGACAGGATGGAGCGGGCAAGTGGTGGGGCGAGAGGAATGGAGAAGCGCAGCCACCTCGTGTTCAGTAGCCGGGGAGAAAGTCTGAAGGGTAGGGAAGGCATGAAGGCACGTGTGGTTGAGAAAGAGAACTGCAAGGAGGGGAGAATTGTTTCCTTAGCTGTTCAATCTTGTCGGTAAAGTAGCATGCAAAGCTATCAGCTGTAAGGTTAGTTTGGGGGGTGGCCACAGCAGGGCGGAGAAGAGAATTAAAGGTGTCAAAGAGACGTCTGGGATTGCGGGAGCATGAACTAATGAGAGAGGAAAAGTATGACTTGCGAGGGCAAGGGCTACACTGTATGAACGCAATATGAATCTATAATGGAGAAAGTCTGCCTGGGTGCGGGACTTCCTCCAGGAGAATTCAGCACAACGGGAGCAACTCTGCAGATGGCATGTTGATTTAGTATGCCATGGTTGGCATGCTATAGATGCCTGGCATGAGGCTTCTCCTCAATTATAACAGCAGAAATGGAACCGTTAGAAGGCCTTACTCGGAACATCAAAAATAAAGCTTCAATCTCGAGTTGGAGTAAAAAGTATGTCATTATTCAATCTTCGAAAACTAGGAAATCATAGGAGGCCAGAAGAAGTCTTCTGTATTTGTGCTTCTTGGTCACTTTGCCAAAGACTTTTTGGGGTTTGATTTATCTGTATTTGGTTTAATTGTGTTGTTTTGTTATACCTGCAGCCACTTGATGGTTTATTCATATCTGGTATTTGTGCTTTAATGGGTTCTTGTGGGGAATGGTGCCATGTTGCCTATTTTGGTCAACCAGGTCATGGTTATCTGTATTTGGCACAAGCCCAAGTGTGTACAGCTTTCTACCAGTCTCTCGGTTTATCTATAGCTTTTTACCAGAATATCTCCATTTAGCATTTTGTATAGCTTTTGTATTAGTTATGTTTCTTTAATTAGTTCTATATTTTTATTGTTTCTGTTTTTTTTCTGTAAAGATTGAAGAATTAAAGCACGATATCCTAAAACAGAAGAAAACCTTTGAGGAAGAACAGAAGAAATTAGTAAGTACACGAACCCACATTTTGTAGTTAGATAAATGTATCTAAATAGTAACAGAACACTACAATCATTCTGTAGTGGTTATTGTCCAAGGAGTGCCTTGGCACCTTACCAGGGTAGGTAGTCAAACCATTTGTGAACATTTGTGACAACTTACCTGGTGCCAGTTACCTCCTACTGGGCAGCTGGAAGCTCCCTGCTCTGAGGTAGCTTATTGGCTGAGAGCCCTCAGTTGGAACCTCCTGCTCCACAGGAGACTGGGGCCGGTAGACTCCAGGTAAGTTGCCAAACTGTTTGTAAACTACTTACCATGAAACTCTGGGAGATCGACAGAGCATTCCTTGCACCATAACTTCTAAACTAGGTTGTAGTGGTTATGGTGCTTGGATTGTTCCTTTAAGCGCTGCTATATATGATTATACTTCTCATACCTGACTTTATTTTTGTGGAAATAGTGAAACATGTCTATATTTATTCGGTAATGAAAACATTTTCAACATCTAGGCAGTTTGTTATAGATGAATATGTATAGATTACTGATTTGTGTACACAGGAATCTGAATCTATAGCTATTATACCCAATGCTTGTAAGTAGCAGTGAAAACCTGTAGCTTGATACGGAGCATGTGTCCACAATTATTAGAGTCTGTAACTTATCCATGATATGTGTATACAGGTTTCAGAATCCGTTGCTTTAAATAGAATATGTATACATTGGCATTAATCTATACCTTTATATGGAATTGTGTGCACCTTGGTATTATTATATAGAATGTGTACGCACTGGAAACAGAATCTATCATTTTATAAAGAATGTTTGCACACTGATAGCAGAATCTATAGATTTATATAGAATGTTCATACTAGTATAATAATACATAGCTTCTTAAAGAGTTTGTGCACATAGGTATATGAATACCTGCTTTATGCAGAGCATGTGCACACAAGTACCAGTATCTTTATAGCCAGGTTGGTTAAATCAGCATGTGTACACATGTATAAAACAAGGATTAAAATCAAAAGAACAAAGCAGGAAGAAGGAAGCTTAAGGAACACTCGTACTGGGGTTAACCCATGGACTAACCATCACCATCTTTTTAAGCGACTTGTATATGTTTCCTACCGGTCCTTTGCTAAATGTTTATATTATTGTTTTTAACTTTCTTTTTTATAGGTTGAAGTAATCTCTGCTCTAGAAAACAAATATATCCAGAAAGAGAAGGAAATGCGTGCATTTATGTCTGAGGTCAAAATGGCTAAAGAATTTAGGATGCAGAAAGCTGAGCTGGAAAAAGAATTAGAAGAGGTTAGTATTCTGTTTATATTAATTGTACTGACTTGGACATGTAAAATGAGTGATCCTGACCCATATAACAAACAACTTGAGTGACCCCTTCCTGTATATTGACTGTTTTGGCTGACTGGCTCAGCCTGTATATTCACTGTATTCTGTGTCTGGCCCAGCCTTTATATTCACTGTATTCTGTGTCTGGGCCTGTCTGTATATTCACTGTATTCTGTCTGGGCCTGTCTGTATATTCACTGTATTCTAGGACTGGCCCAGCCTTTATATTCACTGTATTCTGTGTCTGGGCCTGTCTTATATTCACTGTATTCTGTGTCTGGGCCTGTCTGTATATTCACTGTATTCTGTCTGGGCCTGTCTGTATATTCACTGTATTCTAGGACTGGCCCAGCCTTTATATTCACTGTATTCTGTGTCTGGGCCTGTCTTATATTCACTGTATTCTGTGTCTGGGCCTGTCTGTATATTCACTGTATTCTAGGACTGGCCCAGCCTTTATATTCACTGTATTCTGTGTCTGGGCCTGTCTTATATTCACTGTATTCTGTGTCTGGGCCAGCCTGTATATTCATTATATTCTATGTCTGGGCCAGTCTGTATATTCACTGAATTCTATGTCTGGGTCTGTCTGTATATTCACTGTATTCTGTGTCTGGGCCTGTCTGTATATTCACTGTATTCTGTGTCTGGGCCCGTCTGTATATTCACTGTATTCTGTGTCTGGGCCTGTCTGCATATTCACTGTATTCTAGGACTGGCCCAGCCTTTATATTCACTGTATTCTGTGTCTGGGCCAGTCTGTATATTCACTGTATTCTGTGTCTGGGCCCCTCTGTAAATTCACTGTATTCTGTGTTTGGGCCCCTCTGTATATTCACTGTATTCTGTGTCTGGGCCATTCTGTATATTCACTGTATTCTGTGTCTGGGTGAGTCTGTATATTCACTGTATTCTGTGTCTCGGCCAGTCTGTATATTCACTGTATTCTGTGTCTGGGTGAGTCTGTATATTCACTGTATTCTGTGTCTCGGCCAGTCTGTATATTCACTGTATTCTGTGTCTCAGCCATCCTGTATATTCACTGTAGTCTGTTTCTGGGCCCTTGTGTATATTCACTTTATTCTGTGTCTGTGCCAGTCTGTATATTCACTGTATTCTGTGTCTGGGTGAGTCTGTATATTCACTGTATTCTGTGTCTCGGCCAATCTGTATATTCACTGTATTCTGTGTCTCGGCCATCCTGTATATTCACTGTAGTCTGTTTCTGGGCCTGTCTGTATATTCACTGTATTCTATGTCTGGGCCAGTCTGTATATTCACTGTATTCTGTGTCTGGGCCAGGCTGTATATTCAATGTATTCTGTGTCTCAGCCAGTCTGTATATTCACTGTATTCTGTGTCTGGGTGAGTCTGTATATTCACTGTATTCTGTGTCTCGGCCAGTCTGTATATTCACTGTATTCTGTGTCTCGGCCATCCTGTATATTCACTGTAGTCTGTTTCTGGGCCTGTCTGTATATTCACTGTATTCTATGTATGGGCCAGTCTGTGTATTCACTGTATTCTGTGTCTGGGCCAGTCTGTATATTCACTGTATTCTTGTCTGGGCCAGTCTGTATATTCACTGTATTCTGTGTCTCGGCCAGTCTGTATATTCACTGTATTCTGTGTCTGGGTGAGTCTGTATATTCACTGTATTCTGTGTCTCGGCCAGTCTGTATATTCACTGTATTCTGTGTCTGGGTGAGTCTGTATATTCACTGTATTCTGTGTCTCGGCCAGTCTGTATATTCACTGTATTCTGTGTCTCGGCCATCCTGTATATTCACTGTAGTCTGTTTCTGGGCCCGTGTGTATATTCACTGTATTCTGTATCTCGGCCAGTCTGTATATTCACTGTATTCTGTGTCTGGGTGAGTCTGTATATTCACTGTATTCTGTGTCTCGGCCATCCTGTATATTCACTGTAGTCTGTTTCTCGGCCATCCTGTATATTCACTGTAGTCTGTTTCTGGGCCTGTCTGTATATTCACTGTATTCTATGTCTGGGCCAGTCTGTATATTCATTGTATTCTGTGTCTGGGCCAGTCTGTATATTCAATGTATTCTGTGTCTCGGCCAGTCTGTATAGTCACTGTATTCTGTGTCTGGGTGAGTCTGTATATTCACTGTATTCTGTGTCTCGGCCAGTCTGTATATTCACTGTATTCTGTTCTGTATATTCACTGTATTCTGTGTCTGGGTGAGTCTGTATATTCACTGTATTCTGTGTCTCGGTGAGTCTGTATATTCACTGTATTCTGTGTCTCGGCCAGTCTGTATATTCACTGTATTCTGTGTCTGGGTGAGTCTGTATATTCACTGTATTCTGTGTCTCGGCCAGTCTGTATATTCACTGTATTCTGTGTCTCGGCCATCCTGTATATTCACTGTAGTCTGTTTCTGGGCCTGTCTGTATATTCACTGTATTCTGTGTCTGGGCCAGTCTGTATATTCACTGTATTCTGTGTCTGGGCCAGTCTGTATATTCACTGTATTCTGTGTCTCGGCCATCTGTATATTCACTGTAGTCTGTTTCTGGGCCTGTCTGTATATTCACTGTATTCTATTTCTGGGCCAGTCTGTATATTCACTGTATTCTGTGTCTGGGCCAGTCTGTATATTCGATGTATTCTGTGTCTCAGCCAGTGTGTATATTCACTGTATTCTATGTCTGGGCCAGTCTGTATATTCACTGTATTCTGTGTCTGGGCCAGTCTGTATATTCACTGTATTCTGTGTCTCAGCCAGTCTGTATATTCACTGTATTCTGTGTCTGGGCCAGTCTGTATATTCACTGTATTCTGTGTCTCAGCCAGTCTGTATATTCACTGTATTCTATGTCTGGGCCAGTCTGTATATTCACTGTATTCTGTGTCTGGGCTAGTCTGTATATTCAATGTATTCTGTGTCTCAGCCAGTGTGTATATTCACTGTATTCTGTGTCTGGGCTACCCTGTATATTCACTGTATTCTGTGTCTGGGCCAGTCTGTATATTCACTGTATTCTGTGTCTCAGCCAGTCTGTATATTCACTGTATTCTGTGTCTGTGCCAGTCTGTATATTCACTGTATTCTGTGTCTGTGGCAGTCTGTATATTCACTGTATTCTGTGTCTGGGCTATCCTGTATATTCACAGTATTCTGTGTCTGGGTGAGTCTGTATATTCACTGTATTCTATGTCTGGGCTATCCTGTAAATTCTTTGTATTCTGTCTCTGTGCCAGTCTGTATATTCACTGTATTCTGTGTCTGGGCTATCCTGTATATTCACTGTATTCTGTCTCTGTGCCAGTCTGTATATTCACTGTATACTGTGAATAGGCCAGTCTGCGTATTCACTGTATTGTTTGTCTGTCTCCATGCTACATATTCACTGTATTCTGACTGTGGCTCAGCCTGTATTGTGAATGTATTCTGACTTTATCAGTGACTTTATTCCCTGACTAGCCCAACCTATATAGCAACTTTATTGAATGACTGATGCAGTCTACATATTGACTTTATTACCCAAGCGGCTCAGCCTGTAATGGTATACGGTTTCACATATCATCGACTTGTTTAGTGACTGTAATAGATGTGTGACTCTCATCTTATATAGTGATTATGACTGATCCCAGCTTGCAGACCAGGATTAACCATCTCGATTTCCTATAGGTTAAGGAAAATCTAAGAACGCAAAGTAAGGCTCACGAAGTCACTCTGAGCATCATGGAGAAACGCTTTATTCAAGACAAGGTAAATTATTGATCTGGATCACTGGTTCTGTTGTCACTGAGCAGGTGCAAAAAGATGGTTTATCTCACTTATTCCTGGAGAATTTTCTTATCTATGTGTATTTTTTAAATAAAGCATATCCAAATGCATTCAGGTACGGCAAATATCACCAGGCAACAGGACAATCTCCTTAATGTGTGTGTCTTGCAGAAACATGCCTGTGTAAGATCATGATTTAAAGGTAACTGGATTCATCAGCATCTTGAGGGATTATTGCTTATTGGTCCAGAAGATGTACCAGGTGTGAGCAAATGGACACTTCAAGCATCGTGCCCACTATAGTGTGTTGTATTGCTTATGCTAGGAGCATAAGGCTATAGCTTCAGACTCTCGATTTTTGTCAAACCATTTTCAGTTTGACAAAATCCATAGGAATCCCCAGTTCAACCACACATCTTGCATTATTATTCCATTCAGTAAGAAAGCATGTGGTTTAGGACTCGTACACCCCCACCAGGGATAAATAGCGTTCATAACAGCTAAAACTCTCAAGGAAAAATAAGTAGAACACATTTAAAAACTGGAGACAAGCAGGTCTCAAGAATGTGAACCAACATCAGTCAAGGGGACTGGCACTGTGTTCCGTTTTTATGCCATCCTAGAGCAGATATGTCATATTTATTAATACATTTGGATTTTTCACAGTCACTGTAAATCACTTTGAAAAAGCCCAAAAACCTGTGAAATTGAAAAAAGAACAAAACAATAAATGGTATTATATTATATGTATTAAAACGACAATCTGTGCTACCTTTTAGATTGTCATATATCTTACATTTTAGCTTGTCTGTGGACAGTATCTCAAAAAATTATTAGCGTGTGTTTATAGCAATAATGTAACACTTACTACGGCAGGTATATTGAACTGCATTTCCTCTGCAGCTGTTGTCCAACCATATCTAGGGTTCCATAGTTCTTTACTTCAAACTAAGTAGTCGATTTAATTCCATATAGTGATCAAATCTTAGACAACTCTACCATAACATAGTCTTGACCTTGATTCTCGCACACACTACTTCATCATCAGATGTTCCCCTAGTCTACAGAAGTCCCTTAAGAAGTACCTTTGGCAGAGAATTGGGCAGTAAGACTACAGGGCATGATCTATACACCAAAACCACTTGATTAAACTAAAGTTATTTTAGTGATTTATAATATCCCTTTAATACGGTTTGATACAGGCTTTATACCAGATAATCTCCCCTTTTCAAACTATTGTTCTTTCACTTGTGTTCCAAGATGCCCCCTCCTCTAGGCTGCATCAACTACTTGGTATGGATTTTGTTTGCCTTCTGTTTAGGTTAACTATTGTCATTAATCTCGTATTTGCTGTTTATGCCTTATTGTAAAATTGCAAAGCACTGCAAAAAATAAGTTTTTTTTTATTTTTTATAAATGATAATATTAATAATGATAATAATGAATAATACCTCTGTATGTACTGCTATTGCATGTCCTAAGCAAAGCATTAAGAATATGCCATTCTGATAATTGGCAGTTTACCCTGCCTAAAGCACTGTTGTTAAAACTGTCGCCTCACCTAAAAGCATCACTATACCCATGGAAGCAATTCATAGGTCCTTTTAGCAAAAAACAAAGTCCATTGTCTCTCTTTTGGAATCTTTCCAATTATCGATAGTTTTATTCCATAATAGATGTTCACATAGATGGCAAATTTGGTAACCATTAGTAAATACTCCTGTAGATTTGAGCTCCAAATTTAGTTACTGTATACATGCTAAGAACCAAATTATTCGGCTATCTGGCATTCAATCTAGTTTAAGTAATTGTGAGAAATCTGAATTTCTCTTCCAGCATCGTATGAAGATGGAAGAAGAGAAACGGATAGTGGTGTTGGCTGAAAGTGCTCACAGCGAGGCCATCAAGTAAGTAAACCTGTATCAATCCTATAGAAAATAAATCAATGCATCCACTCTATTTCAAACCCTGAGTGAAGCCAATAGTCTTGCTCAAAGTATCTGAAAGATGGCGGTGTGAAAGTCATTCGGCTGCCAGCGAAAGAGACATAGAGGTTGTGCTATAATAAAACATGGTGTAGGTTTTTAGTTCTTTATTAAATGGGCCCTCTAAGCACTATGGTGGAATGAGGCTATGGATACTGTCCTGCTTGCGACAGATTGGACAACAAAATATGGTTTTCGCTGACACTTGGAGGTCGCACCCCACAACCATATGGATAATAGAGACTTTACACTTACTAATTACCAGTTTCAACTCTGTCCAAAATGGATGGTGATGATTGGCTTAGAGCACTGTGGCAAGGTCATTCAGTTGAATTCGGCTTTCTTTCTACCAGAGGCATTTGAATGGTGTATAAGTATCTCTCTCACAGGTCGCCGGATTATGAGGCCATTTTAGTAAAGGGTGGTTGCTGTCTTCATTAGGGCCTTTCATCATTGTCTCCCATAGTTAACTAAATGATCGATAGTTAACTATGGGCTGATGAACACTTTTTTTAAGGCACCACTCTTGGTTCTTAATGTGCAGTGAGATGAAGTTCAGGTACATTTGAATAAGGGGGGGGTTATTAAGGGGTTCCTAACTGTAGACCCCACAGACAGAAAACATGCTCCTGATTGGTGGTCTCTGGTCACCGAGGGGTCTGCCTTCAACTGACCCTTAACTAACTAGTAACTCAGATGGGAACTTCTTAATGTTAAGCAGCTATTTTATTGTCCTTTAAAAAAAAATGCTTGCTTATTTAATGAATTATATAAATGACAAATAAGGGTACTTTTTTCTCTCATAGTTTCCCTTTGAAGGAACACTCCAATTATCATAACCAGTACAGTTTACTAATGCCAGGGGTGCCCTGATGTTCCACTCATTATAAGGATTCAAACCCTTTTTTAACAGTTTGACATATTACCTGGTGTCCTCCGGCCTTAGTAGTTGAGGTGGGAAGCAGTGTGTTAGACCCCAGCTAAAGAGTCAAACAGTTCAAAAATGGTTTGACTCCTAAGATGGAGGATATGGGGTATGCCTGCTACCATAAACACTACAGTAAGTTGTAGTGGTCATGATGCTTGGTGCATTCGTTTAAGACCCTGCTCCATTGACCTACCAACAGGCAGCTGGGTGAGTCTGGAAGAAATGTCTTCAAGGAAAATGTTCATCTAAAGAAGGAATATTCATTTCTCCTGAATGAGGTAGAGGAGTTAAAGAAAACCAAGGAAATTCTACAGAATGAGATAGCTCAACTTCTGCTGGACAAGGTACTAACCAGAGCTTGTTTACAGTGATAGGATTACAGTACAAATCTGTCTCCAATGCAAGTATGAAGAACCAATCATAATTTGAAATTTAATTTTAAAGCTGGTCTAATTTTCACAAGTTATGATCATCAAATGTATTTGTTGTTCGTGCTTAAAATATTACCAATTTTACATGTGCATATGCCAGTGGGGTAATGGCAATGATGTGGGGAGGGTAAACTTTAGGAAGCTGCAAACCATATTATTATACTATATATAAACTAGGCTCACAATTTCCACTCGTCATTGTTCTGGCTGGTAGTGTGGTACTTAAAATTTTAAGGGGTGGGATGATGTGTGTGCGTGCATATATATTAATTTACATGTGTGGAAAATCATGATTAAGGAGGCAATACCGATCATTCTCCTAAATTGTTGTTGGTGCCCACAGTGTCCCTTTAACTAGCCACAAGAGAGGTATGGACAAACCAATTCTAGTGCTACTCCAGTGATGTCAAGTTGTCATAGTGTTTGGAATCTATATGTGTAGCATTTCAGTTTGAAACACTTCACATACAAGAAAATGCACATTACAGCACAGGACGAGAATTTCAGGCTGGCTTATGTTAAATCTATGCATATTGGGCGCCTTTTATCAGCACACTGGTGACAGACAACCAATGGCTGGAATGAGTCACAGGAGGAGCACAGGTAAGTATGTACTTTATTTTTATTTTTTGTTGCATTACTGCAACAAAAAAACAATGTTAAAATACTTTTCTTTGGTTGGAGTAACCCTGTAATAAAAAAAAAAGCAACAAAACACCGATACCAAAATAATCCTGATCTTGACAAGGGGTTAGACATGTCCATTTTTGTAGATCCAAAAGCACATAACAAGGAGTATATACATTGAAGTTGGGTAAATTATTACATCTTAACAATTTCATCCAATTCCTGCCCATTACATCTCTTGGACAGGAAACCAATGAAATGCTAATTAAGAAAAAAGCCTTGCAATCAGCCAGGAAGAAAACTGAGATACGTGACTTGCAGCAGAATATCATGAGACTGGAGGCTGACTTACAGAAGACGAGTCTGGAGTTGGATGGTCAGATTCAGAGGAAAGAGTGTGACATAGAAGTAGAAGCAAGGAATGCAGAGAGGTTTCAGAAGATGCTAGACATGCAGGAACGGGAGATCAACCGCATAAAGAAGCTTAGTGCAAATATCCTGAGGGAACGGTCAGATGTGGAACATTTCTTCTTGGAGGCCTTGACCCAGGTCAAGCAAGAGATCATAGCGAGTAGAAATCATTATCGCAAAGAGGCCCAGGCAGTTTACCAGCGCAAGATGAAAGATGCTGCTTCAGGGAAAGACTTGTATCCAAAGATTAGAACCTTTCACAACAAGGAGCACAGCACAAACGATGTATACCAAGATCTCCAGGATGCAGAGAAATGGTATGTTTTAGTTACCACCCATTGTTCACTATTGCCTCACATCTTTTCAACCCATTTACATTTAGCAAATGTACATTTAATAAAACCTCCTTTATTTGAAAATTAAGAATTAACTTTGGGTGTTTTGTTTTCAAGCAATAAGGACCAAGTTTGGATTTATATTCTAGTTAGTGACCATAAAATGCGTAAGTAATATATGGTCACCTGGTGTCTGTTATAAATTTAAAAAAAAACAAAAAAACGCAGGCTCCAAATATAGTAAACATAGGTAGTTTTATTAACATTTATATAAAGTATGAGCTTATTTAAGTTTATTGTTAATATTACTATAACTGTAAACAATGCCTTCTTCAGGTTGAAGCTCATGGTTTGTAATGTTCTACATGCCAAATTTGGGTCGCTGGTACATGTTTAATGAGCATTCTTCTCATCTCAGGAACCATCTACAAGCCGGGAAAGTTGACATCAAGGATTTAACCTGGGAAGAGAAAGAGAGAGTTCTCAGACTGCTGTTTGCGAAGATGAATAATTTACAATCCAGGTGCCAATTTTCTGTATACCCAAATAAATAACGCTTCATAAACGTACAATGTTAGAAACTGGAGAAAGTGGCATTCAACAAAACAGAGATGATAAACATTATACCGCATGTTGTCTTGGGTGAAGTCATAACATTAAATAATAATAATAATAGGTGATCACTTAAAGGACCACTATAGTGCTAGGAAAACAAACTTGTTTTCCTGGCACTATAGTGTTAATAGGTCCCCTCATGGCCCTATCCGCCGGGCTCTAGGTGGAGGAAGGGGTTAAAGGCTTACCTTTCTCCAGCCCCGGGCTCCCTCAGCGATGGGGACTCTCCTCCCTCTTCTGCCGAATGCGCATGCGCAGCAAGAGCCGCACGCGCATTCAGTCAGTCCATAGGAAAGCATGCTTTCCTATGGACGCTGGCGTCTTCTCACTGTGAAAATCACAGTAAGAAGCGCGGAAGCGCCTCTAGCGGCTGTCAATGATACAGCCACTAGAGGCTGGATTAACCCATATGTAAAATGCTATGTTTAAAGCAGGCAGGGTTAACCCTAGATGGACCTGGCACCCAGACCACTTCATTGAGCTGAAGTGGTCTGGGTGCCTATAGTGGTCCTTTAACATTAATTAGCATAGTTACCCACAATTACTTTCGAGGAGGTCTCCGAGTAAGTGCAAGTGAAAGGCCAGTTGTTATTATAGGAGATCTACCTTCATAAATGATTATGCAATTATGAAATGAGATCCCAGTACAATTGAAAGAGAAGGGCCAGCGGTTATCCTAGGTCAGGTGTCCTCAAACTCTGGCCCCCCAGATGTTGCTGAACTACAACTCCCATGATTCTCTGGCTATGTAATTCAAAGAATCATGGAAGTTGTAGTTAAGCAACATCTGGAGGGCCACAGTTTGAGGACCCCTGTCCTAGGTGATGCACTTGAGAAATGTGGGAAGAGGGCAACTCATGATGCTGAGAGGGAATCCCTGTATGAAATCCATGATTTTCTTGTGAACGTGGGAGGAAGGCACTTTTGACACTGGGTTGAGATCCTTGTGTGATCGTGCAAAGTGATCTTGTGAATGTAAGGTCAGATACTGGACAATTTGCAAGTAGCATTACCACCAAAGGACGCTGAAAACATTTCTGAGGAACTCTGCCTTTCTTTTATTACAGGAAGAAGAGTCCAATGTTGGCCCTGAAGCTGAACACAACTGAAAGAGAAGAGCGGCCCAGGTGAGACAAATACAGGTTGTGTTATATGAAATGAGGTACTGTGAGAACGGATATCATGTAAATCATCTCCAGGTCATTATTAGGAGATGTTATTACATAAAGGGATCAACTCACGACTTTAATTAAATGAAAGTAATGGATTGAATGGACAATGAATATCTATAACTTGCCTTACGACCATTATGGTAAGTCTTGCCTTTTAATTGATTTACCTTCTATTCTTAGTGTCCAGATATAGAATTCTGCTATTGGCCTTCCTTTTAGTATCTCCCCATCTTCTTTCGGTCCCTAATTTTATTCCTCTCTTTCTCTTCTTGTTACTCCACTTACTTCCCTATTGACTTCTTAAAGTGGCACTGTCATGCCGAACTTACCTTTCTCCTATGGTTTCCTCTTCTCTTCCTCTCTCAGAATCTGTTCTTTTCTTAGAAGGAACTACTTTGGCTTATGTATTTTTGCTATGCTTGGCCTTCTTTGACCAAAGGGGGAGTATAAGTTCGCTCCATTTCCGGTGTCAGAGAAAGTGCTCACCCTTCTCCTTGACACAGGAAATGAAGTGGACTGAAACTCCTCCTTTGGTCAAAGAAGGCCAAGTGTAGCAAAAATACATAAGCCAAAGTAGTCCCTTCTAAGAAAAGAATAACGGATTCTGAGAGAGGAAGAAAAGAGGAAACAATAGAAGATAGGCAAGTACGGCATGACAGTGCCGCTTTAAAATGCCCAGCATCTACCCCTAATTATATTCTACTCTTACTTCTCCTCTCGGTATCTTATAATACCCCTCATGATAATCTACTCTCAGCACGGTAGAATAATTTTACAATATTTACAATAAAAGCAAGATTGTTCAGCCTACTTTGCCTAACTTTTGTATGTAAAGCTCTACCATTTGATTATTGGTATTTATATAGCGTCAACACGTTAATTTCTATTGCTCTTTCTTCTGATTTCTGCATTATGCGTTTTCAAATAATGTATTTCACCAACATTAATTTACAATGCCTTTTCAGGGAACCTGGTAAAATTGAGGGTTCCGGCTCGGTTTTCCTTACCCAGAAGGACACAGAACCCATGTTTCCCGCTTTGCTGCTGCCGGATATTCAGCTGGGAGCATCCCAGATTAAGGCCTGACAGTAAAAACATGGCAGAAGATTGGACCCCTTGCTTTAAAACCTTATTTGCAAAAACGATCTGTGAAGTTTCCATCCAAGCCTGATTTCCAAAAGCCCTGTGTGAAGTTTCCATCCAACATGTTTATCACAGAATAACTTAAATTATCTTAATTATTAAAAGAGATATCAATGGTTCTTAATAAAGAAAGTCTTTCATCAATTAGTATTTGGCACTTTCTTGAAGGCTGGTTGTACAGATAGGTTTTAGTTTACTTTCCTTAAATGGAAAGATCTACCTTTTAAGTGTCAAATTTTTATACCTAGAAGCATATTGTAGGCCTTTAGCCTACAGTTTAAAGGGACACTTTTGACACCATAATCACTTCATCTCATTGAAGTGATTATGTGCCAGGAGTCCTTTGGTGCCAACCTCTTGTTCATTGTTGAACTTTTTCCCCCATCGGTGTGACAATGATTAAGAGTGCCTGGGTCCCTAAAACTGTCTCCCATTGCTTGTATGATTTGGTTTGGCTAACGTAGCATAGCCTCTGAACAAGCTCTATCGTCCAGTGGGGGAGCAGAGGCACGAGAATATATTCAGTGACTAACCAATTAAAATCACTTTGAAATTAAACAGAGGGACAGCACCTGGAGACTCAAAGCACCCTAACCAGTGCATTAAAGGACCACTATAGTGCCAGGAAAACATACTTGTTTTCCTGGCACTATAGTGCCCTGAGGGTGCCCCCACCCTCAGGGACCCCCTCCTGCCCGGCTCTGGAAAGGGGAAAGGGGAAAGGGGTTTAAACTTACCTTTTTCCAGCGCTGGGCTGAGAGCTCTCCTCCTTCTCTCCTCCTCCGTTCCGCCCCGTCGGCTGAATGCGCACGCGCGGCAAGAGCTGCGCGCGCATTCAGCCAGTCGCGTAGGAAAGCATTTACCATGCTTTCCTATGGACGCTGGCGTGCTCTCACTATGAAAATCACAGTGAGAAGCACGCAAGCGCCTCTAGTGGCTGTCAATGAGACAGCCACTAGAGGATTAGGGGGAAGGCTTAACCCATTAATAAACATAGCAGTTTCTCTGAAACTGCTATGTTTATAAAAAAATGGGTTAACCCTAGCTGGACCTGGCACCCAGACCACTTCATTAAGCTGAAGTGGTCTGGGTGCCTAGAGTGGTCCTTTAAGGTGACGTTGGTCTGGTGCCTAGAGTTCATCAGTACAGAAGGACTAGCAAAGTTGCTGTGTTCTTCTTTCCCATGAGAGGTCACCATCTTTATGAGAGTGTAGAACTTGATCTCCTGAGGACAGAAAACAAAAAGCAGACTTCGAAGTCAGTTTTGGTTAAAACATGATAAGTCTATCTATAAAAAGTACCAAGTACTAAAATACATCTGCTATCACTATAAATCCTCTGGTTTTCATTTTCTATCCTGATCGTCATCATTCCCACTACATGTTTATCATTGACGTTTGAGCCACCACAGATTATGTAGATATGTGATCACGTAAATAAGATCACAAGGGAATGGCTGAAGTCATGGAACGGGAGGCAATGATAGGCACCCAGGGACACACTGAGGTCATTTTAAAATGAAAGAATAGGTAGCCAAGCCAATTTCCTGTTTGCTAAGTGGGAACCTCTGGGGAAAAAAAGGACCACTTCCCTATTCACAAGTACATTGGGATTACTTCGCTAACTACATGCTTTTTACTGTTACAGACCCCGTCCAATTCCTACCCCATACCCTCCAGGAAATGGTCTCTAACTTTCAAGCAAAATTGAGTAAATGCGAGATTTTTCCATTACACATCCCAGACCCATTGAAGACACAACTGCAATCATGCTTTGTATTCACCTGGGCGAAGGGGTCCCTCAAATACCTAAGGGTCTCACTTCCCTCCTCACTATCCCAAACCTACGATTGCAACTTCCCACCTCTCATCCAATCGATATCCGAAGACCTTTCCAAGTGGAACATGCCTCATTTTGGATGGTTTTGCAGGATAAACATTCTAAAGATAAATGTCCTCCCTGGAATCCTGTATCTACTCCAAGTCCTTCCTATTACCCTCTCGGAAAACATTATTCGACACTATACGTAAATTGTTCACAGCATTCATCTGGTCCCACAAACATCCAAGACTGTCATACTCACTACTAACCAGACCAAAGACCAACGGAGGACTAGGATTGCCAAATGTGGAAACATACCACAACGCAGTACTTCTAGCCAGAATATACGACTGGTAAGACGCTAACACGAACAAACAATGGGTGGCCATAGAAGACACATTCTTCCAAGTCCCCATCTACACAATACCGTGGCACAAATCGGGACAAACACTACTCAGACACTCACAACAGCCGACCATAACCTCCACACTGAGAATGTGGTCCTATATCAGACATCATGCGGATCTATCCTCCTATCGATCTCCACTTTATCCAGTCTCCCACAACCCACTCTTCAAATGAGGAGAAAACGGAGCTACGTATAAGGAACACCATACAACCACCTACCTAACCCTTCACACACTCGTAGACGACTGGAATTAAACCACTGGACACATTACTCACAAATAGGACTCATATGACACAGCAAAATTTCCAATACAATCAACTTACACATTTTCTACAGGCGGGGCAATATCTCCAAAAAAGCAACCACGCACTCTCACAATTTGAAAGTACTTGCTCCCATCACACACTTAAAAAAAAAACAAGTAGCATCCATGTATTCATTATTACAAAATACACAAGCTTCACACTCCCCATTGTTCAGATCTGGCTGGGAAAAGGAACTAAATCTATCCCTAACAGATAAAAACTGGAAACAAATGTTCCTGTTAATACACAAATCCTCAACCAATCTAGCAACACAAGAAAGCAACGATAAAAGGATAGTAAGATGGCACTATGCCTCGACCAAGCTTAAATGACTGTTCCCAAACTCATCCAGCCAATGTTGGAGATGCCTTCAACCAAATGGAGACTCAGCACACATCTGGTGGTCATGTCCAGAAATTCAAAAATTCTGGTCCAGAATATCTAGATTTAACCAGAAAATTTCAGGAGTAGACTTACCATTCAAACCCGAAACTTTCATCTTCCACATACTACCCTCTCCCCTACCAAAAGTTGTAACCTCGCTGGTCAGACACGTGCTCACCGAAGCAAACCAACTTATCCCAATACACTGGAAAAAAGCTAACTCTCCACCCATTAGAGAATGGATACAAAAAGTTGAGGGAATTAGGATAATGGAAGAGATATGCTTCTCCCTCTGAAAAAATACCAAATACCCCTGGTGCACATTCCTAAAAAGCAGTCGAGCTGAAACTGACAACTCGGCCACATAGTAAAATCCCAAGGGAAGCGCAACGTGCTATATCCACCTCCCCAATCATTTTGACACATGTACCAACCCGGACAGCCACAAGACCGAAACCATCCACAAACTCTCCTTCCCCTCCACCCCACCACCTCTCATATAGTATCCCAGGTCAAGCATTAACTCACATCAGCAGACATGGGGTCTGATTGTTATCTGGAAGGGGCTTGGGGGGATATGGCATATCAGATCCAACACCCCCCTTCATATACAAATGGTTTTAGAGAAGATTCGGAGCTCAGGGGAAATCTACTGACCCTCCCACAGGGATAAGCTGCCGGACCACCTGACCCCACCTCCTTGGATACTAGACAAATGTCACAAACCGTAAGAGAGATCTATTCCCACATCTGCCCGATTATATGCAAAAGTAGAGAGAAATGCAAGGTTTTGTTATAGTTTGAAAATTTTCAAAAAAATAAATAAAATGAATAATTCAAAACATGATTTCATAAGAAAGACAAGTGCGACCGCCAAAACATAGATAGGGATGCTTCGGATTGAAATGTTTTTTTAAAAACAAACAAACAATAAACATTAAATTTCCTCTTAAAAAAAATAAAGTATATTGGGATTATTCACTACACAGGAAATTACACTTCTAGTGCTGTCACCTCTAGCTGTGCTGACATTGCTGTAGACTTGTTCCCAATGCCCATTTCCATGCGGAGTTGTTCTTAGAACACCAGAATGCTGCTTGTTGGTTCTTCCTGTGCAAATCATAGAATCTACAGTGGAAAGGCTTCATTTTTTTAATTTTATGGGGATCAGCCACAGGCACTTCTGAAGCTATTTGCTATATCATTATCCTATCGCCACCAGCCAGTGTACAACTACTAGATCTGAACAACCATGGCCCTATGAACCTTTCTGGGCACACAACAGTTAAGCGGACACTTTAAGAACTATAACCAATACAGGTCATTGTAGTACTTATGGTTCAAAAAGTCTTAACACTCCAGTACTCCCACTCTATCCAGTGTCCAACCAACAATTTTAGAACTGTGTGGGTAAAAACACCCTTGGCACTTTGGTAATTTTTATTATATATATATTTTTATTATATTTCTTCTCTTAACTAGTGGAGAATGTTGCCAGTTCAGCTACTTTAACCTTACATTGGCATTCTTGGTCAGTTTTCCACAATTTCCCATTTTAGCACATTCACTTACACTCCATCACAGACTGCATACGTGAATGGTAACACACAATCTGTGGCTCTCAAAGTCTATTGTGAAGGAAATAAATACATTTACAAGCAGGAGGCTCAGTCAATTAAAAAAAAAAAAATTAGTCCCCTACCGATCAAATTGAATCTACCTCGCCTACAATTCACGATGCATAATAAAGCAAAAGCTATTAGAACAGAGATTAAATATTAATTGTTAAACTAAATGTAATAATCAGTTGTTTATTGGCCCAGGCTCCTTCATATTACTATTTTAAATAATCTTGCTTCTTACAGCTATGCAATTATTACTGCTCGTGTAAGCGTTGCACTGAATGCTTTATGAATTCTAGCTGGGATAAAATAATTGACTTACTTTAACATGTTCCAAAAGAAAAGGTTACAGAATAAGAGCACTTAACCTTAGAGGAAAATGCAATCTCCCTTTTGATATTA